TACATTAAATTGAGTTGTGTTATCATAAACCTTATTCGGCAGGCTACTGACGAGTCTCGTGAGAGACGAACCGTACGTCTGGCCTAACGCGGGTGTATATATATATATATATATATATATATATATATATGCTCGATTAAATATAACACCCCATTTTGTAGTTTTTAATCGAACATGTCTTTTTTAAAACCTCGTACCAAATTATATATATATATATATATATAGTAAATAATATTATATAATTATTTGATATCAATATAAAAAATATATATATTATATATTTATTTTTTAAATTGAAAAATTGTATTTATTTGAAATATGTGTCATAATGAGGCTAACAGTGCCATCTTTAGATCCTTAAATTATGTAAAGTATAAAATGACAGAATAATTTAAAATAATATTAAATTAGGAAGTATACGATAAATGAAAAAAAGATAAAGAACTATGAGTAAACTTAAAATAAAATGAAGCATATTTAAGAAATGTGTATCGCATATGTATGAAATTTAGATCGGTTTTTACAAACTATTTAATGACATGCCAGCCAGATGTGAAGATTTTATTAAAGTCACTGGCTTCAATGTTTCCCTTACATTATGTAACCATTTTAAATAAAAAATTGTGTTGGCCATTGGCTGCAGTGCTCTGACTAAAAATTTTTAAACTATCAAAAATTTTATTATCAAAGCATCTGGTACTGCAGATATCCAAACGTTACTACAACTTTGCCGTGAAATCTCGATTAATTGGTCAATGCCGACTGAAGGAACTATAGTATGATAGTCTCGCTATACAAAGGCAAAGGTGATCCATTGAACTGTTCATCATATCGGGGTATACGTCTGTTAGAACACTTCCTGTAAATTGTCGAGAAAATCATTGAGAGAAGATTAACGTCGTGCATCACAATCGGAAATTATCAATTTGGTTTCCTAGCGGGGAAATCAACAATTGATGCAATTCACATCTTTCGGCAACTGCAAGAGAAGTTCCTCGCAAAGCATCAACATCTATCACACATTTTGTAGACCTTGAAAAAGCATTTGATCGAGTTCCCCGTGAAGCAATCAGGTGGAGTCTACGTCGACAACTCATTCCAGAATATCTTGACTTGTGACTTGTGATGGAAATGTATACGAATACTAAGACTCGTTAGCAAAACGATTGGAAACACAGATGCATTTGACATCGTCGTTGGAGTTCACCAAGGCTCGATTCTCAGTCCACTGTTATTTATAACTGTGATGGAAGAAATCACAAAACCGATATGCACTGGTGACATTTAGAATCTAATATATGCTGAGCAGAATGCAGCACAGATGTTTGATGATTGGAACACCAGACTCGCCGATCATGGATTCAAAGTCAACATCAGCAAAACCAAAGCAATGAACACTAGTGAACCCATTCAATCCACAGCTACTGGACGATGGCCCTGTTCAGTTTGTAAAGCTTGTGTAGGTAACAATTCAATCAAGTGTCAGCAGTGTAACCAGTGGTGTTACAAACGTTGTTCAAAAATAATTGGTACTTTATCTAAAGTGTCCAATTTTGTTTGTCCTGCTTGCATTAATCTACAACAACAAATTCGAAATAGCAATGTTTTTGAAGCCATTAAGGTATAGAAAGTTACATCGTTTCAATATCTAGGAGATGTTCTGGATTGTACTGGAACAGCTGAAGCTGCCGTTTGAGCACGTATACGTGCAGCCTGGAATAAATGGCATCTCCTTGCCTCTATATTGATGCGGCGTGACATCCAACTACCAATACGATAAGACTTTATAAATATGTGATACGTCCAGTTTTGTTATATGGTGCAGAAACATGGCCAATGACAACCAAACTGGAACAACAACAACAACTGGAACCGACATGAAAATGCTCCGATGGATGCAACGAATTAGTCTGAAGGACCACATCAAATCTACCGAAATCCTGCGTCGTGCTGGTTTAGATGATATAAAGGACGAATGCCGGCAACACCGTCTGAGGTGGTTTGGTCATGTCAAACGAAGTGGAAACAGTGCCATAACTTCTCTTGCAGATGTTGAAGTACCTGGCAAACGTCCCAAAGGCCGTCCAAAGAAGTCCTGGTCGCAAACAATCGAGCAAGACATGAAAGCTCTAAATTTAAATGAAATGGATACAACTGATCGTTTAATTTGGCGCAAAAAGTTGATGGCAAAGAAAACAACTTCCTATCTCGGGGAACCGCGTTTCTGGAGGCAAAACGAAGATTGATTGATTGATATCAAAAATTTTAATAAATCGTGTTATTAAACAGAGCATTATAAAATCCGTCACCTTTGTCTGCCGTCGTCATTGCAACTGCATCAACCAGTCAATACATCAGCTCTCGTCAATAAAGGCTTCTCACATTGCTCACCATCAATATGAATCAGTTTGCCACTCATCATCCGTCAACAATCATCAATAGAAATGTTTAAAAAGCGATTTAAGCAGCATCTGTTTGATCAGGCTTTTGACGGCCGTGCTGACACTTGTTTATTCGTGCGCCTCTGACGCTATGCTTAGGGCGCTCATAAATGACATTATTATTTGACATTATTATTATATCTTTGAATTGAAAATGTTGCCGTCTGTGAACGTGTACTTGAAATACTATCACATTTCGAACTGTAACTTTGAGAAAATTAAAATTGCCTAACTCAACAGCTTTTATTACAGTTTGTGATGCCATTAAAGATCCACTGTTTCATATCAAAATTATGTTTTTTGTTTCTGTAGCAAAAAAGTTATCACCAGTACTCAAAACGATTCAGAATGGCTGCAATGCTCTGACTAAAATTTTTAAACTATGAAAAATTTTAATGAATCGTGTTATTAAACAGAGCATTATAAAAAATGCTATGACATTTGTCAAGTTATTAAAATTGACAGACTGAAAAAGACTGACTTTGTTGAATATAATGTTAGATCTGCAGAATAAATTGAACTAACAAAGTTTAAAAACTTAAAAACAGCATTTGGTAGCAAGATCTTTTTTGTTTGACATGCAGAAATTGGATAAAAAGTCCTATCAACAAACTCATTAAAAAACGGTAGATAATTACAACTTTTCAAGACTTTTGAAGTTTAAAAAATCTTTGCATAGAAAAGCGGATGTAATTTTAACGGAATATGATGACTTTGTTAATGAAGTTATACAACAAAGTCTATATATAATTTTTTTACTCAAATCAAGTATTATTATTATTTATTTAATTTTCATGGGTATTAACAAAAAATAATCATAGCTTATGTGAATATGAGTCAATCTATGCATTACACACATTGCATGTGGTAGGCAAGTATCGTTCTGCACTCGAACCTAGTCAGTGCAATAGCAGGAACAGACGCCTGAACCACTACCACCTAGAGGTGAACCTACAAAAAGAATTATTGTACGGTAGAATGGGTAACAATGAAAACTTTTCTGAACTGTAGAAAATTAATAGTCAAATAAATTTTGGTTTTCTTGGTCTTTTTCCTACCAATTCACAAATTAAAGTCTGGGAAATGAGTGAAAATTCAGTTACATTCAGCTTTTGGGAAGTATTCAAAAATGATCCACCGCTTGATCAAGAGCAGAAGCAAAAAACTTGTAAGCCAAAAAAATACAGAAGTAAAAAAAGCTAGCTGAAAAAACAAAAAAGTGACACTGTTATGACTTACCGCAACGGAAAAACTGCAGAGATTCACTCTTTGGGAAAGGAGTTGGACAAAAATTACAACTTCTGAAAAGATTGTTTAAATAAAAAACTTTTGTTTTTATGCTCTCAAATGACTTTTCTCAATATGAAATTAGTAGGCAAATAACGAATGATAATTATAAGATTTTAATTTTTTATCGAAAAATTAAATTAAATTGTTTTTCATAAAAGCACGTAGACAGTGGCAAAATTTAAACATTCAAATATTTTATTTTTTATCGTTTAAGGTGAATCTTATTTTGCAAACCGTTAAATCATCTTATGTAGCTCCGTTTTCGACTTTATCTACATTAATAAAAGTATGAAGTTTTTGAAATTATGATTTATAAAAATATAAATAGTACATTTGCTAATTATTAACATTTTGAAGGAAGGTTCTTTACAGGCGCAAAGTAATTTAAAGTTTTTGAAAACTATGCAAAATTTATGCCAAGATTTGGCTAATCTTAATCCAAGTAAAATTCCTGAAATTTTGCCAAAAATTCTCAAAAAAGTGAGAATGATATGGGTACATTCTGTTTTTTATAATGGTAAAGAAAGAATAACAAGTCTTTTAAGAAAAGTTTGTAAAAACTCAATTATTTGTGTATATTTAATATTTAATATAAATTATGGTTTTTTTACGATACGATATATTTTATTTGCTTCAAAACAAAGTTAAGAAGATTATTATTTACCTAATAAGTCAATTCTTAATCATTATATTTTTTAAACTGATTTTAAACTACATTCTTTTTTTATATAATTCATTTTCATAATTTTCATCGTTTATACTCTGGTCAAAAGACGGCCAAAAATGGTGTTGGAATTTTTGTCAAAGAACCGCTAGCCCAAGAAGTACTGGGTATTAAAAAGATTAATTCACGTCTCATGTGGATCAAGCTTCGCCTAGAAAAGAAAACAATGATTATTTTTCTGCGTACGCAGCACAGACAGGCAAATCAGAAGAGATGAAAAATGACTTCTGGGCTGCGTTCTCTGACACCATCTCAACAATACCAAAATCTGAAACAATCCTCATTGGAGGCGATCTCAATAGCCACGTTGGAGTGAAAACAGATGGTTTTGACAACGTACATGGCGGTTTTGGCTATGGAGAACGGAATGAAGATGGCAACCGCATCCTTGAGTTTGCTGAAAGTCACGGGTTTTGTTTACTGAAGACATACTTTAGAAAGAGGTTGGAACATCTCATAACATACAAAAGTGGACCATCAGACACTCAAATTGATTTCTTCGATGTCAAGCAACAACACCGAAGGCTATTCAAAAATGTCAAAGTTATACCTGGCGAATCACGTATCGCCCAACATAGACTCCTTGTGGCAGACCTGGTTAGTTTAAACATATGTCTCGGAGAATCAAAACGTGGAAGCTAAAAAGCAATATTCATCGAGAAAAATTTCAACAGATTGTCGCCACACAGCCAATAGAGATTGGAGTACATACAAAACCGTTTTGATGAACGCTGCAAATACAGTTTGAGGGAAAACTGGTACAAAACGTCAGCATGAACGGGACACTTGGTGGTGGAATGACAGTGTACAAAATGCAATAGCTGAAAAGAAAGCTGCATACAAGCAATGGCAAAAATCAAAGTCTATTGATGACTACAAAGTTTTCCGTGAGAAGAACATATATGCAAGACGTCAAGTCGCACTGGCTCGGACAGATCAGTGCAGAGAGTGACTCACTAAAAGCAAAGGTGAACAAATGAAATCTCTCTATCGTATAGCAAAACAAGCAAAGCGTACAAAAAAAGACGGTGTCTTATTTATCAAAAACGACAAAAATGAGATGGTTCTTGAACGAGTGAGAAAAAGATACAGAGGTAAAAATATTTTAACCGTCTGTTAAATGAAACCAATCCCATCAATGTCAACTTTGACGTTCCACCCATCGAAGGTCCGATTTTAGCCATCATTGTAGACAGCAGGGCCCTTTGGACTCAAAAATGACATTATCAAAGCATATGGTACTGCAGGTATCCAATCGTTACTACAACTTTGCCGTAAAATCTGGAGAAATTGCTCAATGCCGACTGAATGGACCTATAGCATGGCAGTTCCGCTATACAAAGGCAAGGTGATCCATTGAATTGTTCATCATATCAGGTTATACGACTGTTAGAACGCTCCGTCTGCGGTGGTTTGGTCATGTCAAACAAAGTGGAAACAGTGCCATAACTTCTCTTGCAGATGTTGAAGTATCTGGCACACGTCCTAAAGGCCGTCCAAAGAAGTCCTTTTTGCATGCAATCGAGCAAAACATGAAAGCTCTAAATTTATTAAAATGGATACAACTGGTCGCTTAATTTGGCGCAAAAAATTGATGGCACAGAAAACAACGTCCTACCTCGTGGGAACTGGGTCTCTGGACGTTAAACGAAGATTGTTTGATAGGTTTAAGAAATTGAAGTTGAAAATAAATACCGATAAATACAAGCTTGTAAAAAATGATTCCCGCTGACTGTTACCTTCATTCACTAAAATTGATGGTGATAATTTGCAGTTTCGTTTTCCTGAAGTTGATGAGTTATTAGATCTTGGAATACTCGGTAATAAATTGAAGTTCAGAAACCATGTTTTGAAAATGGTTGAAAATTTAAATGCAAATTCTATGTTAGGTATTATTGCCAGTAATTTTAAAGAAATTTCAAATGTAGCTTCTTTATCATTATTCAAATAATTTGTGAGGTCGCATTTATGACATGAAGTTCAAGTATGGAACCGTTATAAAGTTGGGCTATTAGAAGAAGTGGAAAAAGTACAAAGAAGAACAACTCGTTTGATACCCTGTTATAGAAATCTACCTTATGATGATCGACTGAAAACACTAGGGTTGATCTCTCTTGCCTTCAGATGCCGAAGAGCCGAACTTATTTCAGTATATAGGATAATACACGAGGAGATTCCAGTTGATGTCGGCCCTACTTTATTTTTCTCTAATGATGATCGAACAAGAGAGCACAACCAAGTTAACTACAACTATGTGTCACAGAAACTGTTATAAATTCTATTTCTCGAACAGAATAGTGGATGATTGGAATATGCTGTCTTCGGCTGCCATTATGGCAAATTCCCTAACTGCTTTTAAATCAGTAATTGATAACTTTTTTGTAAACCCAGACGAATCAGACGCTTTACCCACCTTCATTACCTTCAAACAACCGTGAGCTTCTCAGCTGTGATGCCCCAAATCGGTCCTTTTACCAGAAGTGCTTCAAATTCCACACCAATATGGTTTGTTTTATTCAATAACTGATCGAATTAATTCTTTCAGTGATCTTTCACTTTATTTGGCATTGTTATTATGGTGCCTTTATTATTCTTTATGCATGTGGCACCAACTATATCCTTTTTCAGTCTTTTTGCCTAATTTACTATTCGGTAGAGTGACCAAATTTGTTCGCCTTTACTTTCGGTCAGCAATACCATGCAATGATTTGCACGAGCTATTGCAACCTGACATTTCGCGTCTGTGTCCTTTGATCGGTATGTCTTTCGATCTTTGTCAGCTTTGAAAGCTGCTTTTTTACTGGCAATAGCATTTGGCACCGTCTCGTTCCACCACTAAGTTTCGCGGTTGTGCTGGCGTTTTGGTCCAGATTTTCCACATACAGCTGTTGCAGCGCTCACTAGGGTGTCCTGAAAAGATTTCCAGGTTATGTCCACCTTCTTCAGACTTCTTCTAAAAGCTGTGCCGATACCAACTTTTCAAATTTCTCCCAGAACATGGGGTTCTTCAGTTTCCCTGTCTTTATTCTAGTAGGCATTCGATCAGTCACAGGGCATGATTGTTCCATGATCATATCGGCCACCAGCAATCGGTGTTGAGGGAAGCATGCTTTGCTTGAAATGACTTCCAGGATTTTGCAACAAATCGAAGTAAATGCCACTGGACAATAATTCTGAGCTAGATCCTTTTTTCCTTTCTTGTGTAGCGGGATTATATGACTTTGTCTCCAATCATCAAAAACTATACCACCATCTAATTGGACTTTGAAAAATATGACATAAGTGAGGGTCAACTAAATCTCAGATTACATAGTTTTCCAAACGTCGGGTTTTTTAACTAAATAAAATATGAATTTTGATGAACTTATTTTTATTCTGGACTTAAGTATAACAAAATTAATTTGTAAAACAGAAAATTTAAAAGAAACACATAATAGCGTTAATAACAGTATTGTTTCCAATGTTTAAAAGATTGTTGCCGAAATTTACTAATATACTTACTATATTGTTACCGTTTGTTATAGGAAATATAACAGTATTATGATATGAATAATAGTATGATGTAAGTTTGTGTGTGTGTGAGCTCCCAGTTGTTCGTGGACTATATTGTTACCGTTTGATGTAGGAAATATAATTATGAAATGAATATTAGTATGATGTATGTTTGCGTGTGTGTGTGAACGTGAGTCTATGTGTATGTATTTATCTGACATTTCTGTTACACTTATAGTTGGAATTTTTTAGTTAAGGGTTATGTTAAAAGCGTGAGTTTATGTGTATGTATTTATCTGACATTTCTGTTACATTTATAGTTGAAACATTTATTTTAATAGTATGTGTATGTGTTTAAATGACATTTCTGTTACATTTATAATTGGAAATTTTTTTTAGTTATGGATGGCCTATCCGCAAGTTTATCTATTTTGATCATCCTTCAAATAAAAAAAACATTTTACAGATTTTGATTATTACTTTTGCCAATTTACCGTTAAGTAACTTTTTTCTATACAGACTCACGTAATTTGCGATTATTAAAAACCTTTTTCATAATTTGGCTGTTTCGGCGAAAAAGTCGTTATCATTAAATTAGTAATTAGCGTTTAATAATATATACTAGCCAAAGCATATTTAATTAAATGTAATATATAACTGTAAAAATAAATTATATTTTATCATAAGTATGGAATAGTTATGGAAATCAATGTTTAAGACTTTGCTGATGACTTTCTGTCAAATTATGACTAACGTTTTTAATAAACAAGAATTACAAAATTTAAGTCGTGTGAGTCTATTTCAAAAAAATTCACGATGAATGGACACAAATATAATTCAATAAAATCTAAAGTTCTGCTGAATTGTAGCCTAAGCAATGTTGTGATCAGATCCACAGTCTGCTCCTCTCATAGCTCTGATCTCTTTTAATTAGGATCGAAAGTTTGAGAGAATCAGGATATAGTCAATTAATTATATTATTTTTCATCAGAGTTTTTCATGAAATGTTTTCTTATCTTTGAGTGAATTGATATTGAACGCAATCATTCTTTTTTTATAAGATTTTTTAATTTAGATTGTTACCATTCGTTTTGTTGTATACTTCATTTTTCATCAGAGTTTTTCATGAAATGTTTTCTTATTTTTGAGTGAATTGATATTGAACGCAATCATTCTTTTTTTATAAGATTTTTTAATTTAGATTGTTACCATTCGTTTTGTTGTATATTTTTGGCAACTGCTTAGCAGACATTTTTTCAAAACCATTCAAATATCTAAATATTTTAAAATAAATAATTAAATAAATGAAGGAATGAATGGTGAATGAATGAGTGAATGAATGAATTAATAAATAAATAATATTTAAATTAATTAATTATAATTTTATTTTAATATGGAAAGAACATCTTAAAAATAGAATTTTTGCATGTTAAACGATTTTTTATTATATTGTATTCGTTCTTATTATATAGAAAAAAAAAATTATTTTCATCGTTAAGCTTAGTAACGAAGTAATAAATAGATGTACGGCAGCCATTAGTCTGGATAATGTATTTGGAGGATTTGTTGAATCGAGTAAAAAAGTTTTATTTGAGTGCATAAACTGTTGCGAAAGTTGGAAACAAATTTACAATATGGTTAGTACACTATTTTGCTTTAAAAAAAAACTTTTCCCTAACATATCTTAGTTGAAATTAAAAATTTTTCTTTCTCGTATCTTATTCTTTTAAAATCCGATCTTTAACACTTTGTAGTAGTTGAAATATGGTGATATTCAACAAGTGGCATAAGAACTTTACAGATGTAATTCGTTGTTGACAGCGATTCTTCTCCCTGCAATCTTTTCAGTAGTTCTTTGATTTTCCATTCCTTCCTTCCGCATTACGTGCCAGATAAATTCAACTGTCTCCGTCGGATTATTTGAAGTAGAAGTAATAATATGATATAATAATAAGACGGAGGGCAGTTGTAATTTTTCGGTCACATCATGCAAAAGAGATGGATAATCAAATATCAAAATCCAAAATTAGCTGACTTATTTGAAGTCAACAAAACTTTTGTTTATTGTTCGATGGATGAAATATTTGTTCTTTTTTCATAATTATTTTTTATCTTAAATAAATTTATCACACTGATGTTTATTTTTATCATTTACAATCTCAAGCTTTTAAATCGTCAAATAGAATGATATTTCAATATCAAATTGTACTATTGTAACCTTTGACTCTGGTCACTACCAACACCGATGTTATAACTTCAATATTCTCTATATTTCCAACACCAGTATTGTAGCTTCCAACAATTGTCAAGTGTTCGTTATTCCGTGGGTTCAAGATTATTTGATTTCATTTTGGAAAAAGCGGCACAAACTTCAGATCTAAGTATTTTTGGTCCTTCTACGTTCTTTTTGATATGAGACTTTTCACCACGTATATCATCAATGAAATCGCACTTGTCATTTAACCATTACTCCTTTGCCTCTAAGCACATTTTATTGATTGTTTTGTCCAGCCTTTTGTAACTATCAGAATTGCAACCTTTTACTTTCCTTTGTTCATCCATCAGAGATACGATGTCATCTGTTATCCATTTATGACCTCTTTTTTGTTCTTTTACAGGTATAACTTCCCTTGCTAAATATTAAGAGATGCTTGTGATGTAATAAATTTTAAATTTAGATTTATTTACGTCTTCTGTCAATAAATGTCATGGATAACAAATAATATAGCGCAATTCGATCATTCTCACGGTTATAACATTACTTCTATCTTAGCCTGTTAATTCCTTACATAGACGTTACTTCTTTTTTTTTGAAAAACAAAGGATACATCTAATCCAATGGACATTTTTCATCTTTGTTCATTTTCTTCCATGATCACAAGTACCGTATATGACCTTGTTCCGATATTTCCAATTCCTTGGCTGTTTCACTTGGCATCTCTTTTAACTGCGCTGTAGGTTGTACAACCAGACCAGGTCTGCTCTTGAAACCTGCGTTATTTCTTTTCCTGTCACGCCACGTTCTTATTGTTTCGGTTCCTCTAGTCATAAGCAGATGTGGTGCTTTCTTGAATTTGTTGGCACTTGAAGCAATGAATTTACGAGGTGTACAATGGCCAGACGGGTATCGGGTATATAGCCTAGATTTTTAGCATAGATTCAATATTTTTTATAATCCTCTATAGTTTACAATCCAAAGATTACAAATATAGCAAAGATTACAATAATTAGGATAACAAATTATAAAGCGCAATTTGATCATTCTCGCGGTTATAACAATAGGCATTTTTCGATTTTGTTATTAATTAATTTTACTTAATATCTAACAGATAGCTTCTACTCACTCTAAATACTCCAAACACGATTGGATGTTGGATCAAACAGGTATTTTTGCTCAGGTCGATGCATTTATTCAAAGATGCAAAGATCTTGTAGAGGTATATACTTTTTATTATAACTTGTTGTTTTAATATTTTTATACAATTTTATTATGTTTTACTAGAGATGCACCGAATAGTGAATTTGGCTGAAGGCCAAATAGTTGATTCAACGTTTGGCCAAGGCTGAAACCGAAGGTGGAATACTAAAACCCCACAATTTTAAAAAATATAATTTTAGAATAAAAATCGAGCTACCGTAAATAAACAGTAGGCGATTTATTTCTATCTAACAATTTTTTATACAGATAATATTCAATCTCTTGTACAGATTTAGATGTTTTAACAGCTATGATGGCAAAAGTAAACTTCCCGCTAATGATATTTTACAATTATTGTTCTAGAATCCAAATAAACAATGGTTTTAACGGAAGTTGCACTATTCAGTCTTAAAATTTTCGAAATCGAATATCAAATTTTGGCAGAATGTTTATCCAAAATTTGATAATCGGTGCGTTTCTAGTTTTTACTCTAGTATTTATTACTTTTTTCTGTAGTTAATGTAGATTAAACATAAAATCTGAATATTGCAGGTTTGTGATTGCCAGTACCACTTCTCTAGAGCCAAAGATGGTGTAAAAATTGCTTTGCCGATTTTCAAGGGCCAAAGAGGGGGAGAAATTTTAAGAGGGTATTTAGAAATAGAAAGTATCTTTGAAAAAAATTTAAAAGCTCTTATTGCAGTTAAAAAAAGTATCTTGGACGTCAAGGCTATGTCTTGGTTGGATGATTACAGCAAGTATGATCTATTATTGCGTTAATATTTAATGGTATTATTAATTTTACATATAATATATATGAGAATTCATTTTTAATTTTTAGATTTCGTAGTGGTATGAAGGATTTAGAAGTAATGATGCAAAATTTAATTATTTCTGCTTTTGAAACAGCCACAACTGTTGAAGATGGTATAGATATATTAGACATATTCATGCATGTTGCTGTTAGAGAGGTTCAACATTTTTATTTTATCGATTTAATCTTTCGAAACGTTTTATATGCGCTTTGTTTGTTTGACTTAAAATTTTTGTTTCTTTCAGTTGCTTGTTTAGCTTGTTAACATCATTTCCTTTTTTCTTAGATTCCATAAGGTACTTTGGTTTGACTTTTCAAAGACAAACGGAAAAATTAATATAATAGTGAAATTATTTTGCAAACTAGTTTATGTATACTACGGAATAAAACAAAAGTTACCACAAACTGTTGCCTTAAATGCTAAATTGGCTGATATTTTTTGAAACAACTTAATCAGAGGTTTATTAGAAGTTTGAAAATTATATCGAGAGTGTTGATGACTCAAAATTTACATATTTAAATATATTCAATTGGAATAGACCAGCTTCAATTTATCAGACTTGAAATAACTTGGCTTGAAATAAGGAATAGAGTGTTTGAAAAAGTGGGATTGCTTTGCACTCTTAGAAATTTGTAACTCGATGGAGTTAGTTGTTTTGATATATGTAAAAAATTGGCTATGTGTTTAATAAGTGTGAGAACATTGAGAGAAATAAAGAAAATAAAAACAAAAATTATGTAAGTAGCCTGTTGTACAATAGCTTGTCAATAGCTCTGACAGAAATGTAATAAAAGAGCAGATAATAAGAAAGTTTTAACTATATAACTATTTTGAAAAGAGACAGTTTGCAATTAAAAAATATGAAAAAGGTCGGATTGAATTGACTGCACATCAACGTTGTTCTAGAATTTTAGGGACCGAAAAAATGGAGGAAAAGGTCAAAGTTGACTTGGGCAGACAAAAAGAATCTTCGAATAGAAAATTATAGAGTAAGAGTATTTCGGTTGATACATAAAATCTTGCAATTTTTAAAATTTCTTAGGTTTATTTTAGGTTGAGAGGGAGCACATGTGCTTTTGAATATTTTTAATGAAGGTTGAACAATATAAAATTGCAAAATTTTAAAATGTATATCATAAATATTTGTATGAAAAAGATTTATGTAATCTAGGCAATGCGATTTTTCATGGTAAATTGTCAAGTTATTATGAACACGAATTAGAAGTTTAATTTTTTAAAGTTAAAAGTAATATGTTTCAGTTTTTTAAATATTTAATTTTGTTATTTTTAAGTCTTCATAGCAGTGGACAATTTATATATGAAATTTACATAAACGACGATATGAATGTACTTTATAAATTTGCTAGTTCATTAAACTTTATTAGCCAATTTTAGCTTTCAATTTCTTATTCGATTTTGTTTTCACATTGATTCATGTCAATTTTTAGGGAGTGCGGAGAACAATTGATAAGAAAGTTATTGATGTATACAGACTTTTTATTAATGAAATCAATTACATAAAAAGAGAATTATCACAAAAATCGGCAGTTTTGTTACCTTGGTATCCAAAGTTTGCTGGTCAAAGTCTATGGATTAAACTAATGAAAAGAAGATTAGAAAGAAATATGATGGTTTGTATTTTTATGTTGTTAATTTTATACTTTTTATAAGTTAACGAATAAAATTATTCAGTGTTATTCTAAAAACATATCGGTTCAAGAACATGAGACAATAATTCTCTCTTAATTCAAAAATATTACTACAAAAATAAACAGATAAATGTATTTAATAATGAAAAGCTTCGTTTTTAGTTAATCGCAATAAATTGCTATTACTGGAAATATTAAAATTGAAGACTATTAATATTTATATTTAAAGCCTGTACCTAATGTTTTATTTAATCTTAAGTATGTGTCTAGGACTGCGTGTTGTGTGATATGTGTATGTATATATTCATGATTGCCGAGATATTTAATTATAATCTTTCATTAATATTGATTCATTTATCATTAAAGATGAATCAGTTTAATAATTAGCTTGTAAAGCGCTATTTCTGCAATGTTTAACACACTCCTCAGTTAATTTTATATACAGATGGGTCTTCTGATCGGTTCTGAACTTCGCAAGTGGTGGAGCAGTAGTTAGAGAAGAAGGTAGCGACTTCCAGAGAAGAGAGCCAATTTTTGTTTACTGTAAATCTTACTACTATAATCTTGCTGATTGAACTCTATATCATTGAACTAAAACTTTCAACTAGACTCCTCACCCGGACAATTACCACCCGGAAAATAGCCCCGAGCAAAATACCCACCGAACAATTACCCCCCGGACAATTACCCCCTGAGCTCAATTACCCCCTGAGCTAAATACCCCTCGGACAATTACCTCCCGGACAAATATTTCCTGTACAAAAAACCCTACCAAGCAAAATATTCGTATTCGTTGTTTTAAGTAATTTTTCTTGCTTATTGTTTGTTTGTTGTTTATCTTTGATTGAATTTGAACCATTTTTACTTCATAACTTTATAACATTTTTTTGTAATCATTTATAATTACTAGAAGTTTTTTTTTTCTTTGTTTATATACTTATTTATAATTACATATATAAAACTCTTTATTTTAAATTTTTTAAAGTCATGCAATTTTTATATTTTTTGTTTTCATGTTGGTCAATATTTGTGTTTACCACCCATATATGTGTGTCCGTATTTAAGTATATCTAATGCACATAATCAATTATTTTTATTATTTAATTTTATTTGTATTATTTAACTTTATTTGAAGTAACATTATTTAGCATTTTTTGCTTATGTTTTTGTCTATACCATATCATTTGTAAAAAAACTAACCGTAAATGTCTAGTAAATGATTTTTTTAATGTCTTGGGCGTCAACAAAATATATGTAATTAATTTTTTTTCAAATAATAAAATAAGCAAAATACAACTGTTTAGAAGGAAATTTTTCTAATTTAAAATATTTCTGCATCTTTAAATTTCTTGATTATTTGATTTTTCTAAATATTTTTATAAAAAGTTATACATGTTGCTTAAGGCAAAAAAACAGCTTTATTTAAATTTATAAAAAAACAAGCAAAATAAAACCACAATTTTGCTAAGGGGTTTTTTGCTTGGGGGGTATTTGTCCGGGGGGTAATTGTCTAGGAGGTAATTGTCCGAGGGATATTTTTCTCGGGGAGTTTTTTTGCTCGGGGGGTATTTGTCCGGGGAGTAATTGTCCGGGGGGTAATTGTCCGGGTTGTAATTGTCCGGGGAATAAATGTCCGGGGAGTATTTGTCCTAGAACCATTTTTACATATGTTTCTATTTTTTTACAATGGCTACCTATGAATTATAGAATATTTGTCAAAATATGCAAATTATTATATAAATTTCAACCTAATTTAATTCTTGAGTAATTATCAGATTATTTTTCGCTAGTCTAAGGAATCTGATCAACGATTTTTTATCGTTCTCACATTTTCTTAATTTCTGTTTTGTTTAGTGACATTTTTGCCTTCTTTCCTAATTACTTCTTTGTTACCCTTTGAAGTTCAGAGCTGATCTCTAATCATCTGTTTGCAAAACTATTTCAAAGAAATATTGATTATTAAGGTAGCGTTGCTAAAAATCACGGAAACGATAAATTGATTGACTGATTCACGATAATATTCTAAGGTTGTTTATAGCAATTTTATTATTAACATCGATTGTAATTGCATATTTGGTGAATAATTTGTATTAAAAGTAATATAGTTTAATATATTCAACTTATCAGTTATTTGACAAAGCCAAGTACCTGCCGAATGTTTACATAGGAGATGAGATTAGAACTATTTATAGTCAACTTTGTCATTCAATAGATGAATTTGCAATGAAAAATTTTTATGAATGGACTAGTGAACTTTCAAAGGTGGTTACATTCATATATATATATATTTTATTTTATTAATAAAAAGCTTTTTATTGATGATGTTATTTGTCGCGTGGTTTTTCATACTCAACAAAAAAAAACAACGACGATTAACTTTCGAAATGAACCTTTTAGTATAGAAAACTAACATAAATTACATATTCGATAACAACAAACAAAAGCTAATAACATTCAATATCATAAATATTTCTACCGTTCAAAAATTGTTTTGACAACGTTTTTGTTATATCTGTATACTCATACATTCGCTTAAAACTTCCACTTAAGTCGATCAAAACTACAACATGCTACTTCCTTAACACCTGCATTCAACAATCTCGCCGCATACATATAAAACTTCCGTACACATGCTACTTCTATCCATTCATGTTCATATCCACACATGCGCACATACACAACACACACATACATACATACACAGCAAATTTGTCCACACAAGTCTTGACATCATTCAACAAGGAAATAAATTGAAATAACATAAAATATTGAAATAATATCGTAAAAAAACTAGAGCTAGATTACAAATATATATATATATACATTTGTAATATATATAATTTGTATATATATATACATATATATATATATATATATATATATATAATAATTTTAGTTTTTTACTTAATAGATTAAATAATTATAATAAAATTGTAATTAGAAAACTTGAAAAATTAATGTATAAACATAATAATTGTATTAACGCGGTTGATTTTCTTGAAAACATTTATATATGTTGGTAATAGACCATAATTTTTACAATATTCTATAAATTCTACCGAATGTTTGGCGTTAATATGTTTGTAGTTCGTTTTTTCGACTTTTCTTACGAAAGTTTTAATAAATTGTTGATAATATATATATTATTATTATCAACAATTTATTAAGCGCATTATAAAATTGAAATTTCAATTGAAATTTGAAATTATAAAAAGCGCTCTCTATTATAAATGAAATCAGGGAAGGTCAATAAAGTACAAATCAATAAAGTATTTCTATGTCAAAATAAATATGTTTTTAAGTTCCTCTTAAAATCATCAAGCTTTAGTCCAGGCATTCTGAGCGATTGCGGAAGACTGTTCCAGGCAATTGGTCCTGACACGGCAATATTTCTGGTTGCAGTTTGTAGTTGAGTTGTTGTCACTGCCAGTAGGTTGGCATAGTCTGATCTCAATTTGACACCTGTTGAAAAAGCTGGTTTTTTTAAGATTTTATTTGCTAGATGTACTGGTATTTATTTGCAATTGTGATGGATGTTGTGTGTGGAAACATAATGGAGGGGTTGTTATTTGAGATTTTGTATGCAGATGATTTAGTCTTGATGGCTGATAGCATGGAAGAATTGCAGTTAAAATTTGACAGATGGAAAAGCGTTATTGAAAAGAAAGGGTTAAAAGTTAATATTGGTAAGACAAAGGTAATGGTGAGTGGGGAAGGTGGGGAGCGAGTGATAAGTAAAATAGACCCCTGTGGGGTATGTGACAGGAGAGTGAAGGCTAACTCGGTATTGTGTATAGGATGTCAGAAATGGGTGCATAAGAGATGTAGTGGTGTGAGGGGGGCACTGAAAAAGGTGGAAGGCACGTTCAAATGTAAGAAATGTGTTCATGGTGTGATTAATAGGACGGACGCAAGGACGGGGTTGAGTGGTGGTATTGAAAAAGTGGAAAGCTTTGTTTACTTAGGAGATAAGCTGAACGCGGATGGAGGATGTTTGAGCGCAGTTACGGCTAGAGTTCGTGTGGGATGGATGAAATTTAGGGAACTGGGTGGGGTATTGTGTGGAAAGAAATTTTGCAGTTGTCTGGAACACTTTGCCTCCTAGTCTTTGTCTACCTGGACTCTTGCTTTCTGATTTCTGCAAACAATTGAAAGCGCACTTGTTTAAACAACATTTTTATTCTTGTATTTGACGATCAACTTATAACGATATGTTTATTTTTATTTTTGTTTATTCTACTTATAAGTGTTTTTGAGAACTTTTTGTTTTAAAAAGCGTTGTATAAATTTTCGTATAATAATAATGTTCATTATAGTATAAAAAACTTCATTCAACAAATGCTTTAATGTTAATATATAAAAATTACTGACACATAATAAATGAAATGTTATCAAAATGGAGGGTAAAATGATAAATATCAAATATTTTTAGAGCTCAGAATTTCATTTAAGCTTACAAATAAATTTTTGTTAACAACGTTTTATAAAATAGTTTGAGCTAAAAAATTATCTATGTCACTATTGTTCTATAATAATGTGAAATAATGATGACAAAATTTATTATTTAGGATCCATACAAATTACTTGATACACCTTTGTTAAAGCGTAACGTAGAAAAAGGCCTTATAGATATTAATTACGATGAGTAGGTTTTACATTCTTACAAAAAATTGGGATCTGGTCAATAATTAATTTATCAATTGATCATTCAGATCTTTACTGAAATCGTTCAGAGAAGTACATTACTGGGAGAAGCTTTCATTTGAAATGCCCCATTACATATATGATGCATCTCTGAGAAGAGAAGCATACAGATTGCAAAGAGAAAATGTTTACCTCGTCGTCAGAGAATACAACAGGTTATAATAATTTTTTAATATTCAGACATCACCATTATCAACATAATCGGGCGGGGTTTTTGGTGCGACAATATTTTCGCACAACTTTTGCAAATAAGGTTAGCTGTTCCGTTTTCTGTTTTAGATGCTCGAAATGATGGTGAATTTGTTTTTGTCAAACGTGGTTTGCACCATCCGTACGGTTTGATTTCTGGCTTACAAAGAGCTAATATGTTAGCTAGTTTTTTTTTCTTGGTCAAGTTTTTTGACTGATTTCCATCATGATCCTATTGCACTTTCTGTCAAGATATCGGACTTTTCGATTTTCAACATCTTTTTCGGTTTATGCTATATAAGTTTTTTAGCTATTACTATACCTTCTATTATCATACCTGATTCTAAAACGCTTAATGTTTCTCATAAGTTTCGTAGTTTTGATTCTAGCATAACTCTTTCTTCTCAGAATTATACTGTTAGTAAAATCTACTTAGAATAAAACACACACACACACACACACACACGCATGTGTATATATATATATATATATATATATATATATATATATATATATTTATATATTTATATATATATATTTATATATATTTATATATATATATAGATTTTACAATATTCTATAAATTCTACCGAATGTTTGGCGTTAATATGTTTGTAGCTCGTTTTTTCGATTTTTCTCACTAAAGTTTTTTGGAGAACGTTTACTTTATTAAAATTCAAAATAAACTTTTTTTCAGAATTCATGCTGCAAATAAGGCCATCGAAATATATAAACATATTGACGCCAAACATTCGGTAGAATCTATAGAATATTGTAAAAATTATGGTCTTTTACCAACATACACACACACACACACACACACACACACACATATATATATATATATATAAATATATAAATATATATATATATATATACGCATTTTTCACTAAATTTGTATGCCCACTCTGCGTTCAAAAGTTTTTTTGTTAAGAACTTCAACACCACGTAGTTTTTTATGGCGTTTTTAGATAGTTTGATCATACGGCACGACGACCGACTGACTTCTAGAGTTTACGTTAAACCCTCTAAGTTAGGTTTGTCCAGATAAATATAAAAACAACGTCATATACAACCTAATTCATCGTGCATATAAAATTTCGTCAGATAATGAAATATTTCACAATGAACTCACACGTATCAAACAATTCCTAGTTAACAACAATTACCCTAATAAAATAATAGATGCTGTAACTAAAAAGTATCTAGAAAAGATTAGTAATCCAGCACAACAGACCCCAGCACAACCAACAGCTACAACTGTAACGTTATACTACCAGAATCAAATGCACGACAATTTTAAAATAGACGAAACACATATAAAAAACATCATCAAGTCTAACATCACTACCGTCAACCAAAACCACAAGCTTAAATTAATAATATACTTCAATACTAACCGTACGTCAAGTCTGATCATTAAAAACCACAACAACCACACTAGCGACAGTCTTCAGAGAACGAACGTGGTGTACCAATTTATATCCCCTTTGCCGCACAGTGTTGTGGAATCATGTATTGGACACACTCGAACAACTCTTTCAAGAAAACTCACAATGCATAAATAGAACGGTGCAATCAAGGACCACATGTTGAATGAGCATGGCCAAGATCTTACGCGTGCTACACTGGTAGCTGGTACTAAGATAATTGATTACGAACCACATCCAATAAGGCTGAAAATAAAAGAAGCCATATATATATACATAGGAACAAACCAACCATCAATAAACAAACTAATAGCTTTGACCATACTCTTCAGCTATGCTCTCAATATTATAATATCTCCCCACTGCGTATGGATGTGGCCCGTATTGGTGATGGCACAACATAACGACATCTACTTGCCTAGATTCGGCTCACTTTATGTCAATCAGGCTAATGGTGTCACTTGTAGACTGCCGACATCCGTAATGACGTCGTTGGCGGCTTTGTTTGATACTGATGTTTAGTCCTTCCATGTGCCCATCCATATGCAAATATAATATTTTGACAATTATTATTCACGTGTTAATATATATTGTACTACAATATTTGTACACGCTAACTCTCTACGATATTTACGCTATAACACGATATAGACGCAATATTAGCGTTATATACCAACTCCTTTCCATAAATACCTGTCTCTATTGGTTTTAAAATTTTATAAAAAAATAAACAAAAAATTGTTGATATTTAAAATTTAACTATAAATAGGTTTAATTATTTAATTTTATGTTCAATTTATGTTTAACAATATTTTAAAGGTACGTTACATTATTAAACTATTATTATCAACATTCAATACATAATTTAATTTCATTTTAATATTATTTTATATCTTCCTAATTTATCTTATTTCAAGGATTTTAATATTTTAATATTATTCACAATCATATTCAGCTGCGATGATGGCTAATTAGCCGAAACAGCGCTGTCAGCTGACAAATTTCATGAATGTTTTGAATAAATACAAATTCAAAAAACTATGTGGTGTTGAAGTTCTTATCAAAAAACTTTTGAACGCAGAGTGGGCATACAAATTTAATGAAATATGCATTAACGAAGGTCTCGTCCCAAACTATATATATATATATATATATATATATATATTCATCTGTTCACCTTTGCTTTTAATGAGCCACGCTCTGCAATGATCTGTCCGAGCCAGTGCAACTTGACGTCTTGCATAGTTGTTCTTCTCATGGAAAATTTTATGGCCATGAACAGACTTTGATTTTTGCCATTACTTGTATGCAACTTTCTTTTCAGCTATCGCATATTCCACCACCAAGTGTCTCGTTCATGCTGACGTTTTGTACCAGTGTTTCCACAAACTGTAAATGCAGCGTTTATCAAAACGGTCTTGTATGTATTCCAATCTGTACTGGCTTGTGACAATCTGTGTGGCGACAATCTTCTGAAATTTTTCTCGATGAATATTGCTTTTCAACTTCCACGTTTTGATTCTCCGAGGCATTTGTTTAGACTTATGTTTTGACAGTTCGACAACTAGGTTAACAAGGAGTCTATGTTGGGCGACACATGATTCGCCAGATATAACTTTGACGTTTTTGAATAGACCTCGGTGTTGTTGCTTTATATTGATATATATATATATATATATATGTATTATATATATATATATTGATATATATATATATATATATATGATATATATATATATGATATATATATATATGATATATATATATATATATATTGAGGTTGAATTAAATCTGGGTCTATTAAATATAAAGTCGATTTCTACGAAGTTTAATGTTGTTTATGATTTAATCTGCAATGGATTGGATATTTTCGTTGTAACCGAAACTTGGCATGGGTCTTCAGATAATCCATCCATTGCACTATCAATGCCTCCTGGTTATCATTTTGTGGATTGTGTGAGAAATTATGATTCTTTGCATGGTGAATTAATAATCTTTTTTCGTAACTGTTTGAGATGCAAAAAAATTGGTTTACCTGCAGTTGTCACGTTTGAGGTTTTAGCGGTCAAGTTTACAACCAACAACCGGGAGTTTATATTGCTCGCTATTTATAGACCGGGTTCTGCACAATTATCTACATTATTTTTTAACGAGCTGATATTGGTGCTAGAAAATGTAACAGTATTAAGTTCTCGTATTATTTTGACAGGTGATTTCAACGTTCACATTGAAAGGACTAACGATTCACATGCCGCTAGGCTAATTGATGTTTTTGAAAATTTTCAGCTTCAAAATCATGTGAAAGAACCTACGCACATATACATGGTGGTACACTGGATTTAATAGTCACTTCAGTCGATCTTCCTGTCCAAGACTGTATAGTATATCCAAGTGGGAATTCACTCTGATCGTGGTTTCATTAGAATTGCACTATCATTGACTCGAAATTGTACGTCAAGAATAAAACAAAGTAGTCAAAGTATGGAATCGTTTGAATGAAGATGAATTCATTAAACTTGTTCTTGAATCTCCAATATCAAAACCATGTTCAACGGAGAATATTGATGAAGAACTGCAGTTGTTTACCAGCAAAATAAATTGTGTGATTAATAGAGTTGTACCAATCCATATGGTAGTCACCAATCGTGCTAATTTGGCTCCGTGGTTTGATGATGAGTGCAGGTTTTGTAAACGTGCTTGTAGAAAGAAAGAACGAATTTTTAAAAATAGTTTGCAACAAGTTCATCGTGAGGAATGGAGATGTGCTTTGAAAAATAAATCAAGACTCTTTTCAGAGAAACGTCATAAATATTGGACTAGGATTGTCGAGAAGAACAAGACAAGACCTAAAAATCTTTGAAAAGTTTTGAATAAAATTCTTTGCAGAGATTATAAAGACAATCATTCTTCTAGTATACATGAACTTACGCCGGATCGATTTATGCCCTTCTTCAACGACAAACTGAGTAAGGTGATGGACAGCATCGAAATCAAAGTTCAGTCTAACTCGTCTGATTGCAGATCAAATCTCAAAAATTTGTTCGCAACATTTTCAGATGTTTCTGAGGAAGATATAATCAACTTAGTAAAAAATTCACCAACAAAGTCTTCTCAACAAGATGCAATACCGACTCACATACTCAAAAAGTTTATTAATCTATTTTCACCATTTTTAACATGCCTTGTCAATATGTGTTTAAATCAAAGTAAATTTCCCTCTGTTTGCAAACATGCTATAATAACTCCACTACTGAAAAAACACAATCTTTATGAGAATAATGTTGAAAACAAGGGGTCTCGTGGCCGAGTGGTTAGCGTGTCTGTCTACCACTTCCACGACCCGGGTTCGAATTCTGCAGTTTCTACAGGTTCATCCGGGTAGCCGACTCCCGGTCAACCTAGCCGTCCATCCTTTCGGGGTTGGTTAATGGGTAGACGACGTAAGTTGTCGCATGCTGGCCGGCGAGATGGCTCAGTGGTTCGAATGCGCAGTGAGTCAAACATCTCAATGGCTATCATATACTCAGCTTATATGA